TAATGTATGTTGAACATCCACGCAGTGTTTGCAGAACTGTTCACGAGAGATATAATATCGATTTAGGTCTGACAGTAATAATCTATGGAAGTAGAATGTATCTAAAGCCGCATTTACACGTTTCACAATCTATAGGAAACACGAGTAAAAGGTATTTTTTTAAAGTGTTTGTATTCCTCATAGACGGATCCATAGGGAGGTCATTAAGATAAATCAATGAAAGCTTGGAATAAGGGTCAGTGGAAGAGTTTACACGTCTGTTTAAGATTTGTTGTCGAGTTATAGGTTTTTGGTACGATTTAAGTCACCTTTATTTTATCTGTATATTCAATTTTGTTGTTTATTAAATCTAGACAGCGAGTATACAATGTAGTATCTATAGGACGCAATTATCATCTTATCCATTGAAAGACTGTTTGAGTTAGTCAATTAAAAGATCAGGAGCACAACGGAAGACAAACAACGAACAAAAGAGATGGTAAGAAACAACCAAGACGTAGTAGCAAAGGGATCCGGCCACCCACTATCCCTTAATGGAGAACTGGCAGATCCTCACATAAAGGACCAGGGATCCAGACAGACAATAGCCATTGTCGGAGTGGACTCGGCTGGGTTACGGGCACAGTAAAAGTGAGAATGGCCCAGTGCAGGGGGGAGGGAATAAAAGAAAGAGGTTGCGAGGATTGAGAATAGTCCACGCGAGCAATAAAAGACCGAACAGCTGCGTGGACAAGGAAATGAGTATTTGCAAGAACTAAATATTAAAACTAGTGTTGTCCAAATGCGAGACCGAGACGAGTCTTGGTCTTGCAAACTCAGTCATGGTCACGATCTTGGTCTTGCGGAAGAGTCTCGCAACAGTCTTGCAGTTACTTATTAGCTTATTATTATAGATATATTACTGTAATTTTTTAAATAGGAGAAACCTAACTAAGCCCGAATGAAAAATTAGAGGAATTAAATACAAAACTATATTGGTTATAGCAATTATTAACATATAGTAACTAAGATTGTCAAGTATTAGTAACTATTTTGCCTCAATTTTTATTTAAAAAATCGATTATTTTTTACCAGTTTTGGTCTTGGTCTTGCAACAGTTAGGCGGTGCAAGATCAAGACAGATTTTGAGCAACACTAATTAAAACGAATAAGTAAAAAAAAATCAAAATTTATTTTTAAATTCTAAACAAAATTAGGTCCTAAAACGTAGGCAATCCAATAAGTATTACGGTGAACTCACCAGTTATGGACAGGGAGCCTAGTGATGGACATGTGGGACTTTAAATGTAAATAATAAGTTTCATAATTGATTTTAATGTTCCAGTTTTTTTCTAGATTGAAGAACAATGCCCTCTATTGACAACTGTATGAACAAAGTCTCCAAAAGAAAATTTTAATATGCCTATCATTATTGTTTCTATAGTTCTCTTGTGATCAGTGCGTTTCATACCTTCCTACTAACAATTTCGCCCAGAATAAGTTGAGCATTTATCTTATCTTTATAGTTGAATAAATAATTATAGAATTTTTCTGAAGTATGTTCATTACTGGTAGCGACCCTCTGCCCATTACTAGAACAATCGAATTTCAGGGTGTCCATCACAAGTGAAAAAAGGTAGGTTTTTTTAAATGGGGATTATACCTGCATAACTGAATATTTTTTTCAATTTTAAAGTGTTGAATAGAAAAAGAGACCCTAGAGATTCAAAATGCCCAACGGAGAAGTTTATAACCAATAAGTTTATAATGATTACATTGGCATTAGGAAAAAAAAAAAGACAAAAATTTCCTTAGCTATGTCCATTACTGGTTCGCTTATCCTACTCCCACATATTATTCGTGCGGCTTTACAATATCTTCAGAAAAAATTTCTAAAAGTATAAAAGCAGGAAAATATTGTTTATGAGCGAGTGCTTTTTAATTGATGAGCCATGACGTCTAAATCTTCAACTAGTATTGATTCATTAACAGTCAATAAGAAAACAGGAAGTAGGACTCCCGGCAGACAGCGGCGTCTTGAGAATGTCTTATCTCAGAGACAATCACTTCCGCTTAGACCCTTCAGACTCATACAGTTTGTACAGCTTTATCGGCATCGGAATTCCTCAAATGAGAAGATAAGGAATATACAGATACAAATTTTAAGTGAAAATGGTCAAACCGATTTATAAATCGTGGGTTTATGGTTGACTGTAGTGAATAATTGAAGAGAAGGGTGGTTGGAGTGATCAGTCAAATTGAAATGGCAAAAAATAAATAATTTTATTTATTTTACATTCGCCGACATTTCGGCCTGAAGTTCAGGCCTTCATCCGAGCTGGGTAAAGAACCAGATAACAGTAGGTATAATAACATTGAATAATACAGAATTATGATTTTAAAAAAAATTATAGGTGTAGACTAATAATTTTTAGTAGAACAACTTAACGTAAAATGAAGTAAAAAATAAATAAAGATAAAAATAAGTAAAGAACTAAAAAATAAATAATAATAACTGTAACAAAGCACGGACCAATGAAATATAATATATAATAAAATATAAGGTAACAAAAGAAATGAAATATAATATACAAAGATATATTGATAATATATTAAAAAATAATGATTTATAAATTAATATTTCAGAAAATTTTCAAAATCACCAGTTAAAACAAATTTCATCGAAAGAGAAAGAAAACTATGATATTTTATAAAGGAAGGAGATAGTGCGGGATTGCGGTAATAAATAGGCTAACTAGTGGTTAAATTATTTTATTGAAAGCCGACGTTTCGACCCGACTTTGCAGGTCTTCTTCAGGGAGGTGTGTTCAGCTAGGAGTTTTACTTAGAACTGAGTGAAGTTGAAAACTGTTCAGTTCTAAGTGAAACTCCTAGCTGAACACACCTCCCTGAAGAAGACCTGCAAAGTCGAGTCGGAACGTTCAATAAAATAGTTTTACCACTAGCCTATTTATGACCGCAACCCCGGACCATCTCCTTCCTTTATAATACAACGGTCAACTATTAAATATCCAAAATGATCTTAAGGCCAATGGTTTTCAAATTGGTTAGTTTTTGAATTCACACAAATAAACCTTCCAATAATACTGGAGCTCATACATTTTTACTATCTTATTTTTTTAAAACATTATGGTAAAATAAAACGTTATCGATTTACATCAAATGTTAGGATTACTAACGGATATTTTACGAGTTCGTTCCAAAAACCAATCTAGATTATTGATGAATGAAAAATAAAATCTTAATGATAGTAGAACTATACATTTAAATATATTATTCTATCTTAGTATTTTTAGTTTTCAGGTCGTATATAATATAACAGATTATAGTTCGTCTGTCTCCGTCTGTACATAAGAAGCTAAACGGTCTGTGAAAACAGCCATTCGTTGGATGGAAACGGTGATGTAAATCTTCCACTGTCGGCATACTTGGCAGTTGAACCGTTGTTTGTTTGCCTTACGAACCGGGAAAGGATTGTATATTTTCTGCGGTAATAAAACCACGTTCATTCTCAACCGGATAAAGATTATTCTTTATGGATGTACTGATCAAAAGCTTCTTGAAGGAGAGCTTGCTTGAAGCCTGCATGGAAGGAGTCATGCTTACTCAAAGGTTACGATTAGAAGAACAGTTACTGCCGATTAGCGGAAGAAACAACGTATTACATCTTTATAAAAAAACTTCCACTCATCAGTATTAGAGAGTTAAGTTATTGTGACAAGGGAAATTTAAGACATGTGATTTTATTTTAATATTAAAATAGATTGCTTCCCTTTAAAATGGCCTAAGCACTGAAACATCCATTGGCTGTAGAATTAAAATAAAGTAGGACTATTGTGATCTAATTATTTGTGATATACATTTTTATTTTAAAATACTGTTGTCTGATGTTGTTTCACTGATGTTTTATAACTTATGTTCATTAAAACATAAAATTAGATGTTTCATTTACAACCAGATTTGAAAAAAGAAAAACCTCGTATGGCTTATTAGCTTTAAATATTGTACAAAATAAACATATAATAACAAGATTCATTATAGTAGATTGATGGTTGACTGTATATAATTGAACCAAATTATATTATTAATTTATTGTTATTTTTTACTTCATCTCTTTATTACCTTTATTTTATACACTTCCTTAGCTTTTTGCATTATTTCATAAGTCTCTAACTTTGTTATCGTTGTCTTATATATCTTTACTTCGCTACTGCTGTTTAATAAGTCTCTGCTTTGTTACCATTACTTTATACTTCCTTAATTTATATATCAGTTTTATCAACCTATTTTCATATATCATTTCTCATTATTTGTATTATATGTCATCTTGTCTTTGCTTAGTCCTAATGAAAGTCTGAAACTTAGGCCAAACCGCCGGCAAAAAAAGAATAAAAATAAATTTAACTTATTTATTTTTACTTCATATTTTGACTGAAAACCCTAACCAACTTCCCTCCAAGATTCATGCTTATTTAATTTAATATATAAAATAAATCAGCATAAGTAAAATAACAATTATTTATATAAAATGTAGTATTTTAAATACTAGTAGTATCAAGGTTAAAATAATTAAATCTTTAAAATAAAAATGATTTTATTTATCTGAACTGGAGAATATGCCATGAATAGATGTGTTATTTCTATAAATTGTTACATAATTAAAAAAATAAATAGTAGTGTTATATTCTTGTTAATAGGATACCAAAGACAAAAGCTGGAAATACACACTGATTTAAACACGATGCACAACTATATACACAGTCATCAAGTCGGCGCGTGATCATTGCAAATAGAGCGCTAATGATTTACAATTTAAATCCGGAACTCTCCAGTATTTAGCGATTCATGGAGGATAGGAGATGTGACTGGGATCACAACAAACGTTATGGGCTGCCAAGGTATCCAAGTGGAACGAATCCCGCACGCACTGACACAGTTCCCAGATCAGAGTCCGAGTGACCACTTCTTGTGAGCGCCGAAACAGGAGGGGTTAGCGGAGCATGAACCCAACATTACCTTTTCCTGGAAGCCGATCGACCGCGCATCATCACCGCGAAGTCACTGATCAGCAACGGTGGCCAATGGGATGCCTTCAAGGATGGAGTCATGCTTCCTCGACGGTTTGAAGAACAGTTACTTGAGGTTCGTGGAAGAAAAAAAGTATTATGTTCTTAACGCTAGGAATATAAATAAGTAAGGATTATCGATTCCATGATTTGGACACTTGAGAAAAATGAGTCAGGCCCATCAAGCAATGTAGTGAGTCAATCTGGTTGAAAAGAAACTAGAAGACATGCGTTTAATATTTTTAATTACACAACAGTTTGATGTGTCAAATAAAGATGTAAAGGATCGTTTATTCGAAATTATAAATCTGGGAAAATCTTCACCGATTGCGTTGAAATTTTTAGTTGGATTAGAATACCTGCGGGTTTTATGTACCTCTAATTATAAAAACACAAGCAAAAACATGATTTTTTTTAAAGCGCACTACCATTTGTTGACTGTAATGTAATATGCGCTGTTCAAAATATTTTATAATACCGTTTCAATGTTTCAGGTTTAGAAATCATTAAATTGAAATTAAGCTAAGCCGTATACCATAGCGTTAATTTTCTGTCCTCACTCCTCGTGAGTTATTGCTCATACTCTCTCCACGAAATTATATTGCTCTCTTCGTCTTAAAAACTTAATAGGCTATACACAATGAAAACTACAATAAACGGCATAGCCGATGCAATGTTACAAAAAATAATTTAATAAAAAACAAAATAATTCGAAATCTACGAAAATCCAATCTAAAACATAAACGGTGATAATAGCTACACAATAGTTTACTATTTCTAAATAATTATATAACAAATATTTGTATCGTATCACACAACTTCTCTTACACAACGGCGAAAAAACAATATAAAAAATGTTTAATAATACCAATCTGCAAAAGAATTTTTTTCAATTTTAGTTAGGAAATAAATAACACTATAGAATAATAAATTATTCTTCAAATGATAATCTCGATTACTTCAGAAAAAGAACAAGTACTAAATGTTTAGGACGCTACATCTCGAATTTTCTGGAAGTGAAAAATTCTTTAGGCGCGTTTCGCACTTTTTTGTAGAGAGTGAATTAGATTGATCCGTGCTAACACTCGGGGAAAATGGGCTAGAGTCGACTAATTGATATGTTTTTACTTATGGATTAAAATATCTCATAAACTAAAAATCAGTCCTGCATACAGAAAGCGAGGAATTGTTCAGCAGTTCGTCCTCTCTGTAATAGGCTATAATTCAAAATAAAACGCAACGCCGTGTTAGGGAGGCGAAAAAGAAAAAAATAGTGTAAAAAACCAAATGATAATGAGTTTTATTAAAGATATGGATTAAAATATCTCAGAACCTAAAAATCGGAACTTCATACTGTAAGAAAGGAAATTATTCAGCATTTCATCCTCTTTATAATTGGCAATTATTTATAATTTAAATTCCATATTATTGATCTCACCTTGTTGATGCTGTCACTTCTATCGTGTGGTCTAAAGCATACATCTTAGTTTCTTTTTATTATGGTACGCACACACGAACATTTACATTTTTATTTATACAGATAATTAAACATATACAAATTGTATACACTTTCATATAATATCAGACAGGGCCTAGTTAAAAAGCAGTAAACCAGAATGTTGAATTGAAAGTTCGATTAAATCGGAAACTTGGAGGAGAAAAGTAGGCAGCAAAACGAAGACTTAGTTTAGCGCTTTCTATTTCTGAACTAATTCCGTTCCAGATCCAAATGGTCCGTCACAAATTGAAATGCCGGAAATTGTTGAAAACAATTCTGCAAGTTCCAAGGCCTGGGTCCGAGAAAGTTCCCTCCCTGCCCAGATGGACAGAAAATGCTCAGCTGAGTCCGACCGATATTAATGGTTCGTTCCACAAACAAGGAGAGAGAGTAGAGATCGAAAAAAAAAAACTGTGAGGATCTCAGCAACGTATACGTATATTGACGGTCGAATAAGTAAAAAAAAAAGTTAAGTCTTTAGTAGATAGTCTTTCATAGAAAGTTGCGAAAATAAGAAATGAGGAAAACAGTTGAGATCAATTAGCAATTAAAACTGCTACTGGCTATAATTAGCAACAAAAGAATAGCTGCAATTCAACCATTATTATAATTATCTAAAATGCATAACAGTATAAAATATCATCCATCACTATTTTTTTCATTATTAACCATAATCTGTCTTATAATATTGTATCTCTGATTGTATTAAACAATTTTCAGCCCTGATGATGATCCTCATGCTTGGGTTGAAACGTCAGCACCAGTCAAAATCTTGAAAATGACAGCGTCCTGACTATTTATCACCTATATAATAGAGAACAATACCAAAGGTTGTATGGGTCTAAAAAGCTATGAAAGAAGATTGCTAATCCCAGATAAAAATACCACACTGTCATTCCGGTTCCAAAGAAAGGAGTGTGGCACCAAGGTATTCTGCTTTCGTCACAGCGTCCATTTATAGAGACCGGAGGAAGAAAAGGAAAATGGAAAAATAAAAAGGCCTAAAAGAAGAATGGCGTAGAATTCCAGGAGAGGTCGGAACAGGTCTTGAAGGTCGCCCGTGGCGGAGCTGGCGCCACCACACAACCCTCCTCATCAACCATAATAATGTTATCCTCATTATCACTCTATGGCCACGAGCTGTCATTATCGGCGGCTTATTAAGCAATCAGCCAACTCGGCAATAAACACTAAAGTCTCTCGAGAGATCCCTGCTGGCAATAATTCACATCAGCAAACAAGAAATCTGAGCCAATCATCATAAAAATCACCAGTACATTCAGCTTACTTGGAACTCCTGGGGAGAAACAACAATTAAAATTCTTTAGGTATTTATCGATTGTAATATAACTGTCCATAATCATTTTAAAACGATTCTTAGCGTGTTAATAGCTACGTTCTTGCTATCCACTTTTTTAAGGAGAGTGGGGTTAACAGAAACAGAATTAATGTAGATTTATTATATATATATATATATATATATATATATATATTTGAATCATAGTCGGATAGCAGGTCATGAAATACACTTAAATGGCTTAAAACAACTTGGATCCTCTTCAGTTTTTGAATTAAAAAATAAAAAAAACTGAAGAGGATCCCATTATATATGTTAAAAAACAGGACCGAGACGTTTGTTAATAAACAGAAGTTGTTTTAAGCCATTTAAGTGTTTTTCATGACCTATTATCCGATTATAATTCATATCTTCAGTTATAATATATGAAGGTCGAATTATAAATAATAACAAACATTGTATTATATATATATATTTTTATCGGAAGGTAACCTAAGTATTGAATATATACTATATAATTATGCATTATATATTTTTACTGAATTCGAAAGGTTAGATGACACAGATCCACGTGCTGTAATACATTACACATTTTTTTTATCCTCAAAATATATCCCATTGCAGAGAACCGAAGATATCGTAGTTAAAATAAAGTACCGAATCTCTGAATCTCACACCATCTTTTCATTATAGTTTCTGTTTTTAATATTTCGTAGAAATGACGGCGATGAATATCCGTGATTTGTTTTGCGTAAATCTTCACAAAAAAAAGTCCTTTCTCGCTTTTTTGGAATACTATATGATAAGTCATGAATGACTGACAAGGATTGCTTCAATCATGATGACCCTTACACGTATCAATCATACCAATGCATTTTAGCTCAGCTGACGTTGAGATAATAGGAAGTGGGGATCTGGTGCATTGTCCATTTATAATTATGAGTTGTACTAAAAAGGCTACTAAGTATTACCCTTTATAGCAATGGACATCAAAAGGAAAATGGAGGTATAATAATATACTAAGTAGGGGCTGAAAATCGTTTTGACAGAAAAATACAAGTCTCCTACAAACGAAAATTAAGGAAAAGTACTGCAAAAATAATACATTTGTTGAAAAAAGAATTGATAAATATACACAACAGTTAAAGATTATTAATAAATTGTGAAGTTTCTACAAGTTTAAAAAAATTTATTGCCAACTTGAATATTTAAAAAACAAAATTAATTGAAGATGGTTTATAAAAATATAAACAAGGGATATGAAAAACTATTTACTTTTAATGAAAATCAGGAATTTGTAATGGTTGTGAATCCTAGGTAAACTAACCAACCTAGCAGTAAGATTAGTCTTCCTTCCACTTATACATCAGTCTCCTTTCCACTTCTAGTGATTGAACTCTTGATTTCCAGATTTTCGGAAATCCGCGAGTCACGTCTATCAGTACTTCAATCAGTATCTTACACGATGAATCAAAGCGTCAATAGTGCCTCGGAATTGACAGCCGGAATTGCAATTCCGAATGATCATGTAAGGTCTGCTAATAAAGATAAAGCCCAAACGTAATGCTGTGAGATAAACCCCAAACCTTCATAGAAAGGCTTTAAATTGTAGAATCTTATTATATTCTATTCCTATGAAAAGTCTGAAAGAATTAAGAGGTTTACAGAACTAATTATTAATAACATCGCATATGATAATCCACTTCTCAATGTTAAATAATCCTCAAAACTTTTTAAAAATAGATTAATAAGGTAAGAATAAGTTGTTTACCAACGACATTTTCTTTATAAATTGGTATGTTTTACACACTAAAATTAGAGAAGCTTTGGATAAAAATGTTTATCCATCTCGATAAGTCCAAAACAACGTTAAATTAATATTTATAATTACAGAGATAAATATTGTGTAGGTACAACGAAGGCTTATCTTATTTTATGACATAATATAAAATAATTTAAAATGGGACTGCCGCTAATAAACAACCTGAGCAACTAGGTTAATTCTTTTTTCATTTGCATCACCTAAAGGGTAGGTTTTAACCGGAATAAAGTCCTGTTGAGCTAGAAACAAATTGGATCATACAGAAACATCTTATATAGGTCTTATCAGGCTTGAAAGGATTTCCGGAAGGCTCTGTTGTAAGTCTTCAGTACTCCATCATTAGGCTGACACATTGAATTTTTTTTTATGCTTCTCTTTAATATAAAATAAATAAAACCTAACGAATGCTCCGATATTATGTAAACATTAATTACGAAAACGATAATTAATTTTCATGTTAAATGGACAGTTTACTCCAAAATAAAAAGGCGAAATGAATCCTAATACCTGAATAATATTTTAAATTATGTAAGCAATCGAGTATTTTATACCCTTTGAATAAAATAAGGTATCCAACGTTATTATTTTTATTAAATGAAGTTTTTTTACGACACCGAATCTCTTATGGCTGATTTCGTAGCCTGTTGAAAGAATATTTAGATAATTGGATTTAAAAATAACTGGAGTACCCCATTGAGATCTCTCACATTCGACAGCTATACTACTTCTTCCAATGCATTCAACGTATAAAAAATACCAGCAAAACAGTTTATTCTTATATACAATATTATATTGCTATTAGATAGCTTATTCAAAGAGAGGTGAAAAGTTATAAATAGTACCGAAAACCAAATGATAACTATTTTTATGAAAGATATGGATTAAAATGTCTCAGAACTTTAAAATTGGACCTGTATACTGTAAGCAAAGGGAATTTTCAACATTGCATCCTCTTTGAAATGAGCTATTATTTATAATTTATATTTCAAATTATTAATCTCGCCTTGTTGCTGTTTTCACATCTATCGTGCGGTCTACATAGGACACACTTTAGTTTTTATTTTTATTTGTAGGCCCTTCCAGACCCCATTGAAGTCCTATACTGTAACAGGTATACCTACTCCAAAATCTTTTTTTATTGAAATTTCCAACGGTAAACATATATACAACCAGTAAATCTGTTATAGGAATATATTACATGAAGGTACTTGTGAAGAAGCTACCCATTGGTAACACTTCAAAGATAAATTAATTTAGGAGGTCCCTCGGCCATCTTCTTTTCAGACGACTCGGAGGGTTGTCAGGAATTGTGTTGAATGAAAGGTTACAAACTAGAGGATTGGGTTGCCCTAAGAGTTTTGAATGAAAAGAGGTATATCTAGTTCGGGCCAAGTCTTCCACAAGAGGAATGTTGAGGTCTTTATGGATAATTTTATTTGTTACGTAATAAGGAGCATTTAGGAATTTACGGAGGATTTTGTATTGTAAGGATTGGATACGGGAAGAATTTGATGTTTTTGTAGAGCTCCAAAGCTCAATACCGTATGTCCAAATGGGCCTGATGATGGTAGTGTAAATGAGTTTTTTGTAGAATATTGGAAGTTTAGAGCGTTTGTCAAGTGTTGTAGTAGTCGGAATACATTAAAGCACCAGAGAGCCAAAAATACATCAAACATAGCAACTAAGAAACATACGTTTTTGTAAAACCACATATTTCAAACCACAGAAGTTGTTCGTTGGAAAAATCCTCCTCCTGGCACGTAAATAAAATCCTCCAGATAACTCGTTTGGATATGAACAAAAAGATTTTTAAGGCTTTCCCAGGACTTAGCTTAATGATCTGTGAAACTACCTGCGGGACCTGAGGAGAGGCCCACACGTCTCTGGGCCACCTGCTCCAACACCAGCTGCCCAAGCAAAGAACATCTGGGGTTCAGCCCACCATTATTGCCGAGTTAGTGGCTGGGGCTGGGGGTTGGGGGCTGGCAATATGATGCTAGGCTTTTAGTTAAAAAAAAATCTAGCGAGATGTAAAAAAAAATAATAAAAATAAACAATTCTATCTTTTTTTTTTTTTTTAAATTCATTACTTCACAAAACTTTTTTTTTCTTATTTCGATGAAATGTTCCAACAATCTTCAATTTAAAGTAACTTAAATTTTCGTACATACAAAAAATTCCGAAAAAAAATCCAGGAAAAAAATTACTAAGAAAATTATAATCTTTTGGGGGCTCACGAAGTATACATTCTATGGAATAATTCATATCGAATCTCTTAAAAGGTAGGAACATTTCTTA